CAGATTCCTGACACCCAATCCTCTAATCCCCAAATTGAACAGAGTGATGATCCCCCCCAACAAAATACCACATTCTCCCCCACTTAGGGTTCGAACCATCGCCCAATGTCCTACCCAATTAACCACACTACAGACTGGCTCTCCAGATGTATCACTCCCAACTCAGGGGACGTACCACCCAACACTCGATGACTTTCCGGAAAATGACCAAATAACTCCAAATACCCCGAACCCCATATGAAAACCTCGAAATCCTCCCCATGTGACTGCCTCCAGTCACCTTGAAGCCTCGGACCGACACACCGCCGGATACCCCACTGTTCCGCATTAGATCTGACTCAAAATCTGAAAACAATGCAATATCACGCACTTTGACTCTGACTCCTCCCCCGCTTCCCAAATCGGGAAATATTCATAAAAACAATAGACCACATTCTCATTGTTGATACTCAACGTAGACCACGAGGGCCACCACCCCGATATACTCCTCTTTCCCACCTGAAACTGCTAACAACAGTTCGCCTTCCTCAATAAGGCACTTCCTTGTTCTCATTCATTTATTCTCACTAATGACTCTTTCATGGAATAAGAATACCTCGCAGCAAACATACTGCCCAAATACTCTGGTGAAAAGGTCGCAACCCCTTGTTACCCCACCGGGTCTACCTCCAACTTTGAACCCGGAAGCTCAATATCCCTTCTGCTTCTCACAGAAAATAGCACAACTATAGTCACAGAATGTGGCACCTCCGCTATCGGCCGACTGCTCAGCTCAGACCGTAATCCTCCATAAAGCACCACCTCTACTCATCCCTGAGTCTTGCGACTCCAACTGACATCTCATCAATATCTCTTGGAAATCAGCTCAATTTCCCCCTCAAGGTATGCTCCATTGAAACTCGTTCAACATGGCCCTCTGGTTCCACCCTCTCCCAGTCTAAACAATCTCAATGGGATAACTGGTAAAACCAGAAGTACTATCTGCCATGAATCATGGTACTCGAACCATGCTATCTCTTCTCAATCTGCTATGGATCATGGTACTCGAACCATGTGATCACCTCTCAATCTGCTACGGATCATGGTACTCGAACCATGTGATCACCTCTCAATCTGCTACGGATCATGGTGCTCGAACCATGTGATCACCTCTCAATCTGCTACTTAGAACCTCTGGAATTTTCCCTGTATCGAGTATGGGTCCTCTACTTTCAGTAGTACAGTCCCATACTACCTGCCACATCTACCCATACTTTCCACGCGGATCATCCCGTATTTCCTAAGTAGCTACTCAACTTCCCCAATCACTAATCCTGTCATACTGGTCGCTCTCCTGCGAATACTCTCCTCTATCAGCATACTCATCCGACAAAGGTCACTCCCCAAGCTCTTCCTAGGTTCTCACACCTCTCTGCCATCAGCTGCTGAAGAACTCCTTATGATGCCAGCCGTCTACCTCCTGAATATCGTCATATTCACTTAGTAGCTGACTCCCATCATCAGGAGTTCCACAAAGCACAAAGCAAGCAGCATTCAGGCATCGAATAATCTCCACCATCACGTAAAACCACTCTAGATTACAACTTCACTTTCTCTACACACTCAAAGGTGTCACCGAACTCAAGCAAATCTACCCCCACGCGGGTATCTAACTACTCTCTCAGTAGGCTCCTCCAATGCTCGTCTAGGTATCTCTCCTAGATTACTCCTCTGGTCAAAGCTCTCTCTAAAAGATTCCTGCTGGATATTCTTACTCCGTGCATACTCAAAGCACATCACAGATAACAACAGTCCCTAGGCTAAGACATCACAAATCAGGCAACTCTAGCCCTAACATATGAAATACCTAACCTATCTTCTAGCATGCAACACTAATATCTCAATAATAACTCATAACACAAATAAGTAAGGGTATTTTGGGAAATCACCGTTCGGGCTCTGGCTGATTGTACACACCGCTCTTTCTCGTTCTTCTCTTAGAAACTTTTGCTCGTTTTAGAAAATCATTTCTTTTGAAAAATTTCCTCAAATCCTCAGTTTGAGTCCAGACATACCCGAAGGTGCATCTAAATCCCTCAAACCAAGGCTCTGATACCAACTTGTAACACCGTTAATTTTTCAAACAAATTTTTCATTTTTAAATCACAAAAATGCTCTTAATACATTTCACAAAAATTCCAATTATCAAATTAACAAAACATAAATCCATAATTGTTTAATTAATGATCCAGGATCCTCCAAAACATAACTCTTTATCTCGTGTGTACAATCGAACCGTCGTCTTCCCGTGATCCTGAGAAGTACCTGAAACACATAACACATAACACGGTAAGCACGAAGCTTAGTGAGTTCCCCAAAATACCACACACACAACACTGTAGCCACTCGAGGCTATAACTCCATAAGACCCTCTTGGTCAATGTGTCTCAGTGGGACCCTCCAGTCCCACAACTCTGATGGACCCTCTTGGTCCTAACTCTGTGGACCCTCTTGGTCCTACTCTGTAAGCTCAGAACATAGCACATATCACATAAAACAACAATGCATAATATCACAAAGACATAATGCACAACATAACACATAAGGCAGGATACATAATTCTCAATGTAAGTACATAAGACCCTCCGGTCACACATAAGTACCACTCTAGGTAAGTATAGTGAGAAGACTCACCTCGGATGGCGAACAGATCCTATAAATGCTGCTGCTACACTCCGGCTCCTATCACTAAGCCAAACCCACAAATAACCTCATTAGGATCTAAGAACAACCTTCACATTATTAGGTCTAATTATGGTCCACCAATCCGGTCCATAATTAATCCAAGCCCAATGGGCCCACCAAGGCCTAATACCAAATGAGTTCACAAAAGTCCTCTAATGGCCCAACTATGGCCCAATTTTCCAAATTGGGCCCAAACCCTCACACGGGCCTTACCCTAGAGCCCATCTAAATATTCTAGTCCACATGACTGCTCTTGGATGGCTCATCAATGGCCTAATCACCAAAGCCCAATAAAAGGCTCAACACACGGCCCAAGTAAAAATTAGGGTTTCCACATAAACTGTTTCTCACTTAACCCATTAAGTCCATGATTCCACTAAGCCATCATACAATAAAATCGTCATGAGTTATAACTTCAGTCCATTGGTCCAAGTGCGGGTCCCAATAGGCCCAAACCAACAAACCCAAAAATTAGGGTTTTCCAAACCCTAATTAGGGTTTCTAGCCCAATAGCCATCCAACAAGCCCAGATCAAGCATTTGGGCCGATTAGGGTTCACTGTGCCAAGCACCACCCACTACCACCCCAGGTAGTGGTGGTCATTGGCGGCTCATGGCGGCGGCCACCACCTCACGATGGTGGTGGTGGTTTTTCCCTCAATTCCTCCACCAAAAATGCTAATACGAGACTCATTTCACAAGACATACTCATACTCATCACAACAAATACACACAGCCACCACCATATGGCGGCTGGTGGTGGTGACGCGGCGGCAGGAGGCGGCAGCCACCACCTCGTGGTGGTGGCAGTGGATTTTCAGCCACATAAACATACATCCCACGCCTCAAATACCGAAAGCAACCCCGTCACCCTAGCATGCGCCCAAACAGCCAACTCTTAGGCAGTAGGCGTCGCCGGAAAAGCAACAGCAGCTCATTTAGCCACCAATTGAAGGCTGGCAGCACCCAAAGGCGTTGGTATCGGCGGTTGAAGCCGACAACGATAGCTGGGGGGTACCCTTGTCACACACCCACACCGGACGGATGAAAGAGGAGTAAGAATCCGAGTGCAGCCAACTTACCGAGGGTTTTTAGCCGTCCAAAACTCCCAGCATCGCTCACAGCCCATCGAAGGATTCCGGGTGGATCTCTCCGGCTTCTCACATCGTCACCGGCAGCGGTATTTGGGGCGGCGCTCAACACAGCAGCAGGCGACACCTTCCCCTTGATCGGAATAGTGAGGAGGAGGGATAGGTGGCAGATTGGAACTCATGTGTGGCGGCTGTATGCTAGGGTTCACGATGCAACGAGGGAATGAACTGGTTTAATCCTGCATCCCTTAAACTTATGCTCTTTTTTTCACTTCTGGCCCCTCCCCAACATTTTCTCTTACAAATGAAATCCAATAGTTCCCGTTTAACCCCTGATTCCATAATTCTTCACAAATTAGATCTAAACTTTACCAAGCAACCCCTTTTCTATAAATTATTTACAATTTCAGTCCCCACCTTCATAAATATTCACAAAACCAATTTGGAACTTACGCTTTTAACCCCCAAATTCAAAAATTATAACAATGGGCTCCCCAATACCAACACCCCGCTAAATATTATTTATTTTAGGGTTATTATTCATTAAATAAATCTTTATCTACTTATTTATTTAATTGGACGGGATGTTACAATTATACTATAAAAAGAGTTAAGTATATTTTTGTAGGATTGAACAAGATAAGTTACTAATACTTTTTCTTCTAAACCGTGTACCGTACCAACTATAGTTAGTAAAAAAAATTAAATTTATGCTAATAATCGTACCAAGTATGTACCAATATGTTTGGTTGCTATAAATTAGTAATGGTATATAGATACTTCTATTAATTTTCATGGCAATATTTTAATATATACTAATACGTCCAGTAATTTTGATGATTAGTGAAGAAACTAGTTATGTAGATCTTTTAATTTACTAAAAAAAATTATATTGAAGTAACATTAAAGTAACGTGTTAATTTTGTAATTTAACATGGTAGTAGCCATTAACTAATGCGGCTGAAGGACTTAAATCATCGTCTTAAAACTGTAAACGTTAAATGCAATTGATAATTAATATATGGTTTTGTTTATATATATATATATATATATATATATATATATATATATTAACTATCTTATTAACCATATTATATTTGTTGAAATTTAAGAGGTACAATACCTACCTCATTTACAACTTATTAATACAACTAATCATTGCTAATTAAACAGTATTTTTTATTCCTAGACTAACAATTAGTCCCAAAAACCCTAAATTAGTCGACTTCATCCTCTCAAACCGTAAATTAGTCGTCTTCATGTTACGCCGTCTTCCGCGTTTGTGGCGCGACGATCATCCTCTCAAACCGTCCCTCCGATCATCACAATTGCAAATACAAACTCCTCCACACCGTACACACCAACATATCAAGTTCCGACCTTTCGTACAACTGCATCTTTCAGGAAGAAGACCAAGTCGGGATAAGAGGCGTCACCATTACCGAAGACCTTTTCAAAATCGCGTCCACTGTCATCAGATCGAATGTAACTACGCTCGATAAGCGAATCCTTCTGTTATAGAAAAACGAAGGTACCTAACAAACAACATCGCAAGAAATCTCCGATCAACGGCGAATATCCAACCTTACATACCAAATTACAGCAAATCTGTCGAACTTTTCCTCCCGCACGTCAGAAAACTCTAGGGCTTGATGAGACCGCCATGGAACCTTCTAGAATGACGCTGTACAGGTTCGGCAACGCCTCAGTCGTTATCGACATTTACCTGGTAAGTTTTTCCAATCTTTTTTCTATTTGACCTAATTCTCACATCATCTCGACCAATCTTTTCTTATTCATCTCTCTCCTTCATGTTTTGATTCCGATTTTTGGTTACAGGATTTGACTGGCTCAAGTGAACGCCCACCGTGTTGCCTTTTTATGTTAATGTTATTTTATTAATTATTATAATCTTTCTCATCTTAATAATTCTTTGTGATTGCATAGCATGTCTAAATTGTGTTGCCTATATGCAGGTTTCTCAGAGTTCAGAAGAGTCAGTTGACTGCAGCTCACCTGGGAAGCAGATAACCCAAAGGTACAAGTTTAGATACGTTCACATTATATCATGAATGATAGAAAATGACTATTTACCCCCTTCTTCTAGGATTAGTGAAGAATAAAAATGATTGTTTGATTAATGTTATGAATGAAGTTCAGAATGACACAAAAATGTCAACTTATGAATTACATAAATAACAGATAGCTGATACAATTTCAATGTTAATAATTATTTAAATGGTTGACTAAAGAATTATTTTACATTATTCAGCATGTTAAGTCCTAAACAAACATTACCTTATTTTCTTGTCCATTTCTGTCTCTTTTAATATTGAGATCTTGAATGTTGTTTTCTGATGATATATATTTTATGGCAGCATTCATCCACCACCTGCCTTTGGTTCAGCACCTAATCTTGAAGCCCTTGCACTTGAAGCAAGTGGAAATAATTCTGTAAATAGTCACACAGACATTCCCAGGTATATATATTAACTATGCTGATTTATTTGCACATATGCAGCATTTCATGTTGATATAACACTATTTCAGTATCATTCATGATGTTGGATTGTTATTTACATAATAAAAATAGTTCAAAACTTGTCTTATTATCTTATTATCTTTGTTATTGAAGTGCACTATGAACTTAAGCACCAAAAAACTGAGTTACAACTTCCTATGACATTGATACAAGTTATTAACCCACTCTTGTAAAAACTCTAATTTATTTCATGCTTTATGATCTTTTACACACTTCCATTTGTTTAGATGTTAACATGTTTAAGATTCTTGTACACATTATTAATAGATAATGTAGTTAATTAATTAACTTTCAGATGACAAACCAAAGCTTCTGAGTCAGGTACAGACTTTACAACTTTTGTTTAACACAAAAAGGTAGACCAGGAATTGCCCTTGATCTCTCATATATACAAAAGACATAAATTCCCTCCTCGTCATTTTTTGCAAATGATGAATATTTGGATGTGCAAAAAATGCAGTTGACATTTGAGGTATTTTCTGCCCCTCTTAGATGTCTTTGTTGTTGATGGCTACTCATTAGATGTTTTTGTTGTTGATGGCTGGGCATTTGAGGTATTTTCTGCCCCTCTTTAAAATGTATTACACAATACACATATACTTAATTGCAAATTACTTATTTTTAACTCCTAAGTTTTGTATTTTTTTTAAAGGACAATGTCACTAAATTGTAACCAAGTTTCACGTATGTTCCATTTGGGCACCTCAAACTTATTTTCATGAGGTTTAACCACCAACCTCCTATTAGCATTCTCCAAAATGGCAACTAAATTTTTTCTTACACAAAAAAAGTCCTCTTTATTACCATTATAACATGTCATAGAATGTTTTTATGCTATTGTGACCGGTTATAATAGATTTATTTGTTTATTTATTTATTTTTTTAATGATAGATTTAACATTTTTTTATATCACTATGACTGGTCATAGTAAGTGTAATTAGAAACCATTCTTATCTAAAACCCAAAAATTATTGTGTTTTGTGTATTTTGTAAAAGACAATAAATTACATTGCTATTTGACGCAATTTATTCCAACAAAAAACCAGCTACAGTTTGACTTTGACTCAAAAACTTTTTACTCAAAACTTTAAAGTCGTAGCTTTTTTTAATGGGTGTTTTAAGTTTATTTGGATATTTTCTTTTGAATTGGGTAATGTGTTGCAGGTGGAAGGCTTTGGATTTTGCAAAGTTGGCTTGAAACCGCAAGTTCAAGGTGGGTCCAGACTTAGGTACACAAATGTCTTATTTCATTAATTGATTATTATAAAAATATGATTAATTTTGGTATGATTTAAAATATTTTTAGTATGACTTTTGATAGTTACTATATTGATTTTTAAATATTTTAGTATATTTGTTAATGTTAGTATTTTTATGTGGCGTTGTCCAGAGGAGTATCACCACGGGACAATCCCAAGGTATTAGTAAAGCCGGAGAAAACATTTGATAACGATGGAATCTACATATCAAACGTTGTGTACAAAGAAGTTTTATGTGATTAACAAGGTACAATCAAGAACTTGTTATTTTACAATTTGTTTAAATATGTATCTTATATGCTCATTTGATGTTTAATGCAGGGCTAGCGGATGAAGCAACATGATTGCAGATTGGTGTAGTTTATATATTGGACATGTTATAAATATACAAAACTACATGATTGCAGATTGTTGTTATAAATATACAAAACTACATGATTGCAAATTGTTGTAATTTATATATTATAAAATCAAGTATGAACTGTAAGATGAAATTTTAAATGTATACTCAACTTTTGCTGTATTGTATGACTATGCACCTAGCTAGAAACTCTCCGTTGAAATGAACTATGCGACACAAAATAGTCTATCAAAAGACCGCAATGAATAGCTCACGTCTAAAGGAAACTAATCATCACATTAAAACTATCTTCCAAAAAAAACTATTTGCCGCCCAGCGCTTGGCGCGGGTAAACGGCTAGTATATATATATATATATATATATATATATAATATATATATATATATATATGGGAAAAGTGAATATACCCTTAAGGGTATATAGATTTAGATACCCAATCCATAAAACTACGTAGTTTTGATTAGTTGTTTAATTTGTGGGAAAAAAAATATTCCTTAAAACCTACATCTTTCCTTGTTCACAATAACAACACAACTCAATTCCTATTTGATTTTCTGCTTCAATTATCGCCTAGTTGTGAAAGAAAATAAAATTGTCGTACAATTATTAACGGGAAGTCGCCGTTCTAACATCAAAGGTTTAATTTCTACTTTCCACTTCATCCATTTTCTTTTCCGCCATTAATTACATATTTAAGTTATGAATTTGAGTTTTTACTTTCTCGAACATAACCTTAAATTCCCGACATTTCATTTGCAGTTTTTTAATTCTTTTATTAGTTACATTAATCATTATTAGAATATTGAAATTCAAATGGATTTAATCATAAATTATGTAATCTAGAGTAATGTTCTTCAAAATTTAACGGCGTTTTCGTACACTTTTAAATCTTTAGTTAGATGATATATATTTTTAATACTTTTATTGTAATGATGGTATTTAACAATTAAAAGTAAAACTTCGATTCTTAAAAACGATTTCAAAGAAATTACAAAATTAAAAAGTGATCAAAACTACGTAGTTTTGTAGATCGGGTATATATATATATATACTTACAAATGAACTGGTCTCGTCGGTACGATATTTTAATGGTATTCAAAATTGTATACCATTACCATATCAAGATTGTTCAATTGGTACGGTACTACTATGTTTAACATGTTGACAACCAATTTTATTGGTTCAATTGGTAATATTTTGTTAGGTTTTTTTTGGCACAATTTTGACATCCGTACTTGTTTGTAGTCATTATTACACGTGATTAGATGGTGTTTATTAGTATTTTCTATTCTGCAAAATTGTTATTACAACTTACAAATGGTCGTTTTTCTTAGTATTTATATAAAATCAAATAATGTTAGAATTCTTTTCCTTATAAAGGTATCATCATTTTTGCCATAATTTTCATATATATATATATATATATATATATATATATATATATATATATATATAGGGCTAGGTTATAATGTGGATGATAAGTATTGTGTGGATGTAGGGATGAATGTGGACCAAGAGTATAAAATACATATTCTAATAGAATACATATTCTGATTGAATACAAACTCTGACAGAATATATATTCTGATTGAATGAACATTTTGAATAATAACAAATTTTTGAACCATGAGTTGAAGAATAACAACATTCTTAAAAAATATTCATCTATTATTAATATTATTGAAGAATCTAAGGTCCAAAAATAAACAAAAACAATTTTTACTATCACATTCAATAAAAATACAATGTCATCTTTTGCATTTTTGCCACATTCTATAAGAATACAAGCTTTATAGTAAGTCATTCTTGAAAACAATCTTCATTCTATAAGAATACAATTCACCAAAGAATCTTCATTCTCATTCTTGTTTCATGATGTTATATTTTGACATTTTGGGGTGGTGAATCTCAATTGTCATGAAAATGTCTCTTAATTTCCATCCACCATTGTGTTTCCAAATAACTTTGCTACATTCCGAGTGGTCCTGAAAAAAAAACATATACAAAAAATGAAGTTCAAGAATATAAATACATACAACTTGTTGCCTCAATATACATCATTATTGATACAAACTTTTTCTTGACCGGTTGAGATTCAAAATGTCATTCTTGAAGAAGAACAACATTCTTCAACTATCATTTGAAGAAGATTTGAAGTGCATCTTAAAGAATAACATGTAAAACAAATTATGAAATGATCAATTAAGCATACTGTTAACCAAAATACTCACAGGTAAAACGAATCTAGAATTTCAGGAAGAAAACTTTGATCAATTGAATTGACAAAAAAATAAAATTAAAAAACGCAGATTTAGATTAAGGGATCGAACAACATACCGATTTTGTGGAATCGAGAACTTACCTGGGAGAAATCGATGATGGCTAAGAGAATAGGGTCGGCTGAATCGATGAAGCACACAGTGGTCAGGAGGGCATCAGCCTCCTTCGCATCTCCCCAGATCGTGTGTTGTTGCTGCTTGCCTTGACCATCTCAGATCAGCCTTCTCCCTTCTCTTCACATTTGATTGCCAGAGCAGACCCTGCGCTGCTTTTCCCCTTTGGCCTCGCCGACCCCGGAGACGACGACCTCCCCTCTTCCCTCTGTCTCTTCAACCTCTTCGAACCCCGGAGACGATCTTGATTGGTTACGACAACCGGAATGGCGGACAGCGCACCTGAGAACTTCCCTCTGACGATCTTGACATCTTCGATGGAAGCAGGAGGCGGTTTTGTGCCGACGATCTTGACATCTTCGATGGAAGCGGGAGGCGATTTTGTGGGTGTGGATGAAATAGGCAGTAGGGTTTTAAATAAAGTAATTTGCCTAAATTAAAGGGTGGAAGATTTAATTAATTATTTATAAAATTTAAATAATACTTGGTCCATATTAATCCCTACATCCACACAATATTTGTTAATCCATATTTGAACCTACCTCTCTCTCTCTCTCTCTCTCTATATATATATATATATATATATATAGATATATATATATATATATATATATATATATATATATATATATATATAGGGGTAGATAATAATGTGGATATACAACTGTTGTGCGGACGTATGGACATAGCTATTCTATGAGAATTACTAAAAAAATAGGTTGTTTAGTAATGTGAATACGTTCAACCTCACACAACTATTGTCATTTTCATGCATTCTCACTAATTCTTATTAATTTTTGTTTTCACTCATCGTTTTTCACTCATGTTCATTCTTATAGAATACGAATCAATAAACATTCTGACAACATTATAACAGAAAAAGATTAATACTAAAAAAAATCTATAATAACCTATAGACGATTTAATTAGTGAGAATTTGTGATAATAACAATAGTTATGTAAGATTGAACATATTCAAATTATCAAACAACATGTTTTCTTTGTATTCTCACAAAATAGAACTGTCCGCACAATAGATGTCAATCCACATTTGACCCTAGCTCATTCTCTCTCCTTCTCTCTCTCTCTCTCTCTCTCTCTATATATATATATATTATATATATATATATATATATTCTGCTCTATCTTAATAAATGAGTAACTAATTGCCACGTGGCAATTGCTGAGCCCCCTCCCAGCATATTTTTCCGCTCAAAGTTTCCATGTGAAGTTCCAAAAATGCCCTTTCTGCCTCTTAAAACCCCATCCGCCTTCATTTTCGCTCCAACGTTGGAAATAATTAAGAGTTTCCAACTTCTATACGACGGATCAGCTCCCAAAAAATCTCAAGCATTCATCCATTCCGAGAAATCAACAATCACCAAGATTTTCTCATGTTGATTACGAAGATCAGAATCAATTTCTTGGAAATCTGCTAATTCCACATCCTTATTCTGTTTGTGCAGGCTTTCTCATATTTACTTGAACTTTCAATGTCCAAATATTCATTCTTTATCTTTTTTTTATTCTTCTTGGTTATTGAAATTGATTGCTTAAAGTGGGTTTTTGTAGGTTTGAAGTTTCTGAAACCATAATGCCCTTGATATAGGAAACTCTATTTGTTCTCACGTACGCTCCTTGAGGATCAAAGAGGTATAAATCGATTGTCACTTATTACCTAAATTTCACCACATAAATTTCTATTTCCCTAATAAATTTTTATTTGGTAATTTCATTATTCGGAATTCTTATTCAATTTACATTCCACTTTGTGGTAATTTTGATTAAAGGAAGTCGATTTGGTTCAAGACTTGATATAGAGATGCCATTTAAGTTCAAGCCCAGTCTCATGATGAGTAAGTATGGGGAATTCCACATGAAAATTCTTCTTTGGACCAATACCTACTTCACATTATTTTATTTTATTTTTTTAATTTCATATAGTTATTCTCCTTCTTGATATGTTTGTAAATCACTAATCGTATTTGGGACATTACCCATGAGTCGATATTTGTAGCATGTTGTTTTGTTGTTTATTCATTTTTGCAATTATAGGACACATAATCAAAGGATGGACGAAGGCATTGAGTCCATGAAAAGTAGGCAAAAAAATCCCTTTTTACAATTCATCTCTCTCTTGCATATGCTTCTCAAGATCTTTCAAGATTACTTGTTGAGGTTAAGTGGAAAGGGTCAAATAAGTCCAATAATCCTCTTACTTTTATGCGGGGAAGTGTGAGGAGGAATGTTACCAATAAAGGATCTTTGAAGGATGATGGAGTTGTCGAATGGAACTGTAACATCCCAAAAATCACGACTAAAAATTTCATTTTTAAAACGTTACTTAAACCACAATTGTCAATCCATAATATAATTCTTAACATAAAATCAGAGTGTTAATTCAAAACATGTTCTTATTATCAGAGTAAAACATCCCAGGCTGACTATCTATGGTGTGTGCCATGCGATCATCCCGAGCTCTTCCCTCCGCTACCGGAAGTACCTGAAACCAAAACTAAAAACTGTAAGCACAAAGCTTAGTGAGTTCCCCAACCTACCACATACCATCCACATAATCGCATACTGCAAATACTGGGCCTCGCCCACTACCTCGGGCCCTGCCCGCTACAACAGGCCCCGCCTGGCTTCGAGCCCCGCTCGGTGTACAGATCTGTTTCTCTTAGGCCCCGCCCGCTAACATATACTAACATACAATCATATCATAACACAAAAAATTGAACATATACTACTGGATTCTTGTTCTAAGGCCTCGCCTATCTTGGGCCCCGCCCCTGTCCTGCT